AAAGTTTGATTGGAGGGCAGGGGAGAACGAGAGGGTGAAAATTAAGGTACGTGTAAAAGCTTAATTTTACATGAGAAGAAACTTCTTAATAAAGGGGAAGGGAAATGGAGGTTAATTTTCAAACTTCTTTCTCCTCTATGGTCTCCCCTCTAGATTGGGGTAATGGTTTTATAAAAAATTTTTACAATAACTTACCATTTTATTCATGATTCTAAAACTTGATTGAAAAGTCGATGTAAAAAAAAAATTTATATCATGAATTAAAAAAATTGATCTAAATTAACCAAGTTTAATCTTCTACTTTTGAAAACAATAAATCAAAATGACATGGTTTTAACAAATCATCAAAAATAATAACAAGTTAAGTTCTAGTTTTGATTAGATTAATGAATTAACCGAGCTTTTAACATGGTTAGCGAGGATTTTTATTCTTTTATATGTTTTTTAACTCTGACTAATCTAATACTCAATGTGACTAATTTCTAAATAAATCTGTTAGGCTAATTCGAGTTTTATAATTATAATTTTGTTAGGAAATAATATAAAATTATTATTGGAATCTCACATAAAGGTTTAAGTTTTTTTATTGAGATAATTTTTTAATATTGTATTAAAATTTTAATAACCAAATAATCATGAGTTTAAATTTAACCACCATATTCTAATTAATGAAATCAAGCATAATGTCTAATTAATGAAATCAAGCATAATGTATTGTGTATATATATAAATTTTAAATCTAAATAGTTTTTATTTTAAAAAATATATTAAAAAATAATATAAAATTAATTTTAAAATCTCGTCTAAAAACTTAAAATTCTGAGTTGAAATATATTTTTTAACATATTTTAACTTTATTTAATATAAAAATACTCATCGTCATTCTTTTAAAAAATAAATGGTTTCAATCTTATTTGTCACTTCATCCCCTTAAAAGGGAAATTAATGATATTTAATATTTATTATCTTTCATTCCTTTTTTTTTTTATTCAAACAAAGAAAAATTTTCCATTCCCTTCCTATCACATTTTTTTCCAAGGATAAACAGTAATATTTGAGATTATGTATCTATTATTTATCCTTTTATGTATATACGAAGTGTTGATTTATATATTTTTTAAGAATTTTTCTTTCTTATATTCTTTTGTCACTTTGTATGCAAAAACACCTCTTAGACCCCCCCCCTCCCTAAAATATTATTTTTCAAGACATGGAATTATTTTCAAAAACTTAACAAAATTTGAAGAACTCAGCAATTAGAAAAAAAAAAGTGAGGTAAAATAAATAAATTAATATGAAAAAACCTAGAAAAGCAAAAACTTGGAGCATCCTGAAATTTGAACGAAACCCATAGCAAATAAAAAAAAAATTGGAAACTAAATTTTTATTTAAAAAAATAATAATTTGTGCACTGTCAAGTTTACTAAGGTAATTAGTATGCCTTTCTACGATGCTAGTGAAAGAAGACTTTCAAATAATTTGTGCGCTACCCATCACTTTGTTTATGCAGATTGTTTTGGTTGCGAACTCCCTTCCAGAACTAAATGATGCCCACTGCTATGGATCTTCCTGGCATTGTTGCTGCGGCTGCAAAGGTTCGTCCACATGCTTGATGCTTTGCAAACTTCTCATCTCACTCCTTTTTAAAGTATTTGTCATTGAACAAAACCAAAGTGAGGAAGCTGATTCTACTATTCAACAGCATTGTGATGTTCTTCGCAGAGCTTCTGAAGCAGGTGGCCTACTTGTTGATGCAACACTTCAGATGGTTCTAAAGAGAATTCCTCCTCAGTCCCCTTGATGGTTGTTGAGAATGGATGTGGGAGTCCGTGCATTGATTTGATGCAGGGCAGCTCTGAGCTTGTTGCCGCTGCAGAGAATGCTGATTTGGTAAAAGTCCCCATGTTCAAGTATGTATGTTTGTCTTGCTTCCTTTTCCTCACTTTCTTTCGATAAAAACACTGTTCCAGACATAAAATTAAGGACAAATGAGTGCAGCTAATCACATGCTGAAGCTTGTGCTCCGCAGAATATATTGGAAGGGATGGGTTGAGCGCTTCATATGAATTTCAATGTTCGGTCTAAATGTGCTTTTCTTTTACCATTACCAGTGCTTCATGCCTGACCCTGTGATAGTATTTCCTCTGACATTCTAAAAAGTTGAGAGAATGGCATTCAAGATGCCAACTCTAACATCTATTGGTTTAGTTACTAGCTCGAGACATAAAAAAAACACAGACAATGGAACAGAGCAGATATGTTTGAAATGATAAAAATTTACTCCAAAACTATCCAAAGATTTTGTCTTTTCTGTAATAATAATGTACGAGTATTTCTTTTGACATCATCTAGTATGTGTACATATCTCATTTATGCAGCTTGTGATGGTGAAGAAAAAGAAGCTGGATGCAAAATCGATCAAAGGAAATATATACGACTGTGTCTGCAGATATGAAGCAGCCTGTTGAAATCTTCTCAAGTTTTATCAGTCAGGAGTAAATAAAGAAAGAGAGGGTGCAAAAATCCAAGTGTTAATGTTAATGTTACGTGGTAGATGATCCTCCGGTGTTGATGTTGCAGTGGAGCACCTTGGCCTTGAGCTACTCTGGCTCCACTCTCTTCTTGATGCTGAAAGAACAATTTTACAGTATTCGAAACAACAGGCGCACCTAATCTCGACCCAGCGATGGCGAAAAGAAACCCATCAAATCTCATTGAACATGAATGACTTAGATCCAATATTGCTCGTGAATTAAATGATTAACATGAATAACTTAGATTCAAAATAAAATATTGAATTATGACAAACAATATTTTTCTTTTGGGTTATTCCCTATAATTGTACCTCATTATACTAAAAAATAAAAAAACAATACAAATTTAAAGTTAAATTAAATGATTGTTAGGTGAATTTATATAAAAAATAAATTTTAATAGACTAATTTGATTTAATCACGGGTCAAATTAATTTAAATTATATTCAAGAATTAACTTGAGTTCAATTGAAGAATTTAATTAGGTGCAAAGCTTAATTACACTTTAAATGGGTTAAATTAATTTTAATAGAGGCTTAATTGGTAAAATATTAAGTTTGGGAGCTCAATTTGAGTTTAATTAAAAAGATTAAAATTTAAAGAGACCAAATTTAATTTTTATGAAGTTAATTTATTGAAATGAAGGGTAAAATTACAAGAATATAAAAGTTTTAGGGTCAATTAGGATTTAAATTGAAGAAATTCACAACTAAAGACTAATTTGTAAAAGGCACCAAACTATAGGGGTTTCATTGACAAAAATAGAGGTGAAATTAAAAAAATTTAAAAGTTTAATGGTGAATTAAGGGCTAAATTGCATAAATCTAAGATCAAGGATCAAAGTGCAAAAGGATATGAAATCTCGGGTTAAAATTGAAGTTTTCTAAAAGCTAAATTGCATTAAACTAGAAGTTTAGGATCAATTAAAAGTGCAATTAAAATAAATCAAAAGGTGAAGGACTAAAGTAAACTTAAAATAAAAAACAAACCATGTGTTATCTAGTTCACTCTTAATTGATCTTTTCTTTTTCTTTGAAATGACAATTGAGGAGGTTATTTTAAAGATGTATTTAATGCTTTATTTTTTCATCAAATTTGATAAAACAAACACATAAATGATCACTAAACATTTTTATATAGCCTCATGTGGTTCGTTCAAGCTAATTGACACTACGGTGGCAGCAAAGTTAGCCTAAAATGGCCAACTCAAGTTGCCTTCAATTGACAGATTGACAATTCATTATATCTACTTTGAATCAATAATTGGAATTTTTATCCATTCAAATAAGAGTCAAAATTTGGCACCATTAAATAAAACAAGTCTCTTTTCAACCTCTTATAAATTTATTTGAATTTTATAGCCAAAAGAGGGGGAAATGAAAGTCAAAGTTGAGAAAAAATCATCTATGCCCAGTTTTTTTCTTCCATTTTTTTCTATCTTTTCCCCCTCTCGACCACCACTTTAGTTAGCTCCACCACTATACCTCGACCATCATTGTCACCAAAAACCACTCGAAAGTATTTCCTGTAACACCAATAACACCTCTAGCCTCTCTTCACATCAATATAAGCAAGAACGCTCTTTCTTCGGCTCCCTTGAAACATGCTTTATAACCAACCCAACCACCCTTAATAGTCAACTTTTTCAAGCCATGGTAGCAGCTTGGAACCAACATTTGGGATCATTCAGTGTCGAATCAAAAGTCAATAATTGGCACCATTAAAGATAACATGTCCCCTTTCCACACCCTATAAATAAAAGTAAATTCCATTCCTCAAAGAAAAAGAAATCATTATGCAAAGTTGGAAAGAAATCATTTTTTTTTCTTCCCCTTTATCGACCTCAATTTCCTCCCTTTTATTGACCTCAATTTCCTCCTCCTTTTCTCCAATCTCCAGCGATGCCACCACCTCCGGCCACCTTGCATATCTTCCCTATAATATCAGGAATGATCCTACCTTTTTTTACCTCCATCCAAGCAAGGTTGCTCTTACTTTTGTCACCTTAAACCTGCCACAAACATTTGTGCAAATGACACTTCCTTTCTAAATTTAGTGGGCTAGACTCGTTTTCATCCCAATCTAAAATGTTTGGGCTGGATCTAACCAACCCTAAAAAATATTTCAAAAAAACATACAAGGGGGATTTCAAAATATTTTTGATTTTCTCGTGTGTTTTTTTTATAAATTTTGATTAATATTGAAATGTATTTTTACACTATAAGATAAAAATCTAGTATTAAAATACAAAATTTTTTCTAAAAATTTTCAAAAAATATTGGGTTGTTAATAATTTTATTTATTTCTTTATGTAAATATTTATTTATTTATTTAATTAAATGTGTGCATAAGTTTATATATATTGAAAAGATCTATATTTTTTTGTGGTTAAAAAAATCTCTTGCTTGCGGAGGGAAATAACTATTGCAAATTCTACATCCCTAGCTAGAAATTAAAACAACAAAGTTCCTTTCTATCCAATACCCAGGAATGAACAATTCAAGTTATAATAATCAAGCATTATTCACTCAATTGTTACAAATATATCTTATTGAAAAACATTAAAAAACACTCATAAATTATAGTACGAGATTCTGATAAATGAAAATGTTTGTCTTCCCACCAGCATTACTAGTACATGCCGACATTCATAGCTCAAATAACACTTGTCTATTGATATTGTTGCTTCCATCCCAGTACTTATCCATCATTACTCGATCAACCATTAAAATTAAAGAATTGATCACCATAAGTTGAGCCAGGCTGCTCATTATTGTTCTCCTGTTTATAACAAATAAATTTTTAGAACCCATAATAAGAAAAAAATGAACCCATTATAAAAATAAAAATAAATTAAGAGATTGTTTGACATCATTTAAATTTTTGGCTTTTGCTTTAGTTTTCATATTTTTGAAATCATAAATAAAAAAAAATTTATTCTTATTTTTGTTGAGAAAAGCAAAACCAACAATTGTTGTTACAATTTTTGAAAATCACCTCATTTAAAAAATTTGACAATTCAATTGTTTGCAGTTTTATTTTTTTAAAAGAAAACAAAAACAAAAATTATGCCGCGCAGATAATCAGCAATTATTTCTTCATAAAAAATAGAAATGGGACGGAAGTAATTATAAAGAAAATGGAGACATACATGTGCCTGCCCTTGAGGGACAGGTGACCCTTGCCTGGGCGAGCTACCCGACGCCATTGCTGTTCTAGGTGGATAAGTGTTGTTCAAGTGATTAAGATTAACGAACAGATCACCACCAGAAGTTAAGGAAGGCTGCTCAACATTGTTCCCCTGTGTATAATAAAAAAATTGTAAGCATACATTCGAAACAAAAAAGAAAAAAAAAAAGAAGAAGAAGAAGAAGATTGTTTGATATCATTAATGTTTTTGTCTTTTGTTTTAATTTTCAGGTTTTTGAAAACATAAATAAAAATTTGTTATTCTTATTTTTTTTGTTGGAAAAAAGCAAAACCAACTATTGTTATTACAATTTTTTTAAATAAGCTGGTTTAAAAAATTTGGCATTTCAATTGTTTGATTTTTTTCATTTTTTAAAAGAAAACAAAAGGAAAAATTATGTCGCGCAGGCAAACAACAATTTTTTCTTCATGAAAAATAGAAATAGGACGCAAGTAATTATAAAAAAATGGAGACATACATGTGCCCAGCCTTGAGGGACAGGTGATTGAAGCAGCCCAGACGACACTTGCATGGTGGAGCCACCCGACACCATTGTAGTTCCAAATTGATAAACTGGTGGGTGATGAACTTGTAGGTCTGCCTCTCCAGTGCCAAATGTATTGCGAGGAGTCATTTCAATCTGTATACGCCGATTACAGATAGTGATTTATATATAAAGAGAAAAGAAAATTGAGATAATGTTCTATTAAAAGTGTTTCCACATTATTAGCAGAGGATCAAAATGTGTGCAGCAATATATTTTTGTTTGCTCTTGAAATAAAAAATAAAAAATAGACAAGCTAGCAATCAGTCAAATCTAGGTAATATGTCCTTGATTTGTTTGCTTACAACCTTATTAATTTTTATGTTTTTATGTCTACTCCTAAGTGATTTTTTACTATTGCAAATGTTAAAAATATAACAAATCATTATAAAATAATAAAAAAAATTATATTTATAGGTGTCTATTAATATGTAAGAGAATTTTTCACCTTTTATTAATATTATTAAAAATAGATAATTTTTCAATTTTTTTTATAAAAACCATAAAATTTATAAGGTATAAATATTCTCTAAACTATTTAGATAAAAAATCAAGGCTTTAAAATATAAATAAAACTCAAATTTCAAGGGAAAAGAAGTTTTTGAACCTTGAAATTGAAGACTCTTTAATGTTATTTTTATTACTCTAAATTATTTAATATCTTTCTCAAAAAATTACCGACTTCGTTATCAAAGGATCCTTGAATCTCTCAATTTTTGGCTGTTTTATTGCAGTTACTTCATTATCAAAGGATCCTTAATCTCTTGATTTAGGTTGTTTTATTGTAGGTATTCAAGATCTTTTTAGTAAATTGTGAGTTTTTTAGATTAACAAGAAATTAAAGTCTTTTTTATTTATTGACTACCATACCAAATACCAAATATATAATTTTATCACTATATATGCATGTATGTATCATTATGTATGTAGGAAGAGAAACCGCAGCCTTACAAGTATCTGAAGCATGTTGATCATAATATTCTGTTGTCCAACTATTTGCACGAGTCGCCTGTTAGTTTCTCTAGTTTGCTCCATATCGGATTCGAACAGTTCCAGTTTTCCTCTCAAGTAGGCATTGTTTTTCTCCAACTCAGCATAATCTGCTTTCCACTTTCCCAACTCTCTCTGAGTGCGTTCTATCTCTTGCTGCCCATAGATATCATATATAGAAAGAGAAAAGGATAAATTAACTATTTATAGGGTTTAAACAAAGAAAAAAAAAAACATGGAGGGGAGATAAGCTACTCATTCACTTGTACCTGCTTTCTCTCACCACGTCTGTAGTCTCTTAGCCGTCTCTTTTCTTTTCTAATGTCTTCAGCTGATGGTTGGACAGTTTGATCATTCTGATCACCTGTTCATATGTTTAAGATTTTGAAAAACAAAACTCGAAATAACTATACTAAATCTCAAATATATATAACGAGTACGTGATAAAAAAAAAACTTGTCAAATATGTTAACCAGTAATCGAATACTTCCACTAGCTGTTCAATATCCTAGCATTATTGGTTTTCTTCATATATTAATATCTATAAAACAGTCACAAATCAATGTAATATGGGCGAATCATCCTTCCTATTACAATGCTCAATTACAATCAATGTATATGCATGCATGTTAACCTACTGATGTATTTGGTATATTCACCAACATATTTAATTAATGGGTTCTAGATGTAGGTAACAGTGCCAACATTTCACTGGAAAAGAAGCTCTAGCCATTCGTTTGTTTTTATACAATTTATATGCTACATATGACTAATATAATTCCAAAAAAGAAAGGACTGTTATCAAACTTATAGTCACCGGCCGCTAGCTACCTAATCAAGGATTAGTTGCTTAAATTAATTAGTACACTCCACAAAAACTATGTAGAAGCTTATTGTCTTTTCTTTTTTGTAATAAATTAGGGTTGATAACTCATGTAACGAGGAGCTAAAACGCTTAATCACACAGTAGTAATTAATCATAACTTCATTTCATATTTAATTAGATGATCCGACTGAACTTAGCAGATCAATGATCAAAACAGGATATATCTATAATTATACATTACTACCATGAATTATTATCGTTCATTTTTCTCTTGACTTTCAACTATATATATCCCCCTTTTTTATAAAAAAAAACCCTTAAAACAAATCTCCTTCTAGTTATATTCAACTGATTGATTTTAATAGGGTAACATTCCAAAGTGTTTGAATAACGATTATATTGCCATCTTTAAAAAAAAAGATTTAAAATTTCGTGGAAACCAAACAACATCAACATGAAGCAAAATCAGGCTAGTTATAACATATAAATTAGAGATCTAGCCAACTAAATACTTATTTATCATAGATATATACATGGATTGTACTGTACCTCCGACAAGTTCAGATGGACCTTCCATTGAATTGGCTGGTATCTGCAGAAAACAAAACAATTGAAAGTAGAACTGAAAACTCCAAACTAAAAGCACAAAAATCCGGAGAGAGGAAATTTAGTACTTGAACAAGGAGTGTATGAGACAGAGTGAGAGAGATAGACAATATGTCGCCACGAAATCGAGCGAGGATGCTCGAAAAACAATCGATAGGGAAGATAGGAGGGTTCAAACTATATATGGCATGACTATATGTACTCGTCGCAACACGTTCTGACACCATTGACCATGGTTAGATTTCACCACATGACGCTGGACAATCTGATTGGGTCCCATTTGTTTGCTTTGGTCTCAATCGTAGTGTCCTAAAACTGTTAGGAGAGAATCAATACACAATATTTAATTGTTTGATAAGATAAAAATTTTATTCACCATGAAAATGCTCTCGGTAAAACAAGGTAGAAAAATACATTAGTAAGTGGCGAATTGGATTTGAATAGCACAAGGTAGAAAAATACATTAGTAAGTGGCAAATTGGATTTGAATAGCTTTTTTTCATTTTTAAAAGGGATTTTTTTTTCTTCAAAGAAAGAAGAGACAACCAAACCAAAGTAATTACTTATATACGATTTAATTATTGCAGTCTGCTAGTTTTGCTGTAGGAAAACTAGTTCGACTATGTCATAACTGTTAAGACTATTTAGTTATACCTTATCTTCTTCTTTAGAAGCCAGTTTGCTTTCCTTGACTGCACAGCGCCAAAAATATGAGCTTGTTCGAGGCTGAAATGTTTTGTTTTCGTTCTCTCAAATCTTAGACGAAGTCTAGGCCATTTGGCCCAACAAGTTGTTAAATTGGGCCTTTCCCTTCCTCTTCTTCTTTTTTTTCTTCTCTCTTCTTCCTCTCCGGTCGGGCTGGGGCTATCATAATGGGCCTTTTATGGGCTGTTTCTCTTTCCTCTTTCCCCTCCTCCTCTTCCTTAGGCCTGGTTGGGCTATTTATTTTGCCCGTGTCAATCATATGACAGTACCTGTACAGCTGCAACTGGTAGTCTCTTTCTTGCACCTTGTCATCCCAGTTCTGATGTGGTAGATTACTTAAATCATGCAGTTTCATCTGTAAAAATACTCAAGTTGATAGATCGCATAAGCTGCTAGCCAGTTGCTAAGTTTTAAAACACAGAATTCCTTTTTCTTTGTTAACAATGCCTCCTGCATCATCTACCTCTCTCTCTCTCTTTCTCGTCTTCGTTCCTGGAAAATATTTTGAATCAGGGAAGAAACAGAAGTAAGAATCAAGAGAAGTTGAGAAACAAATGGTGACAGACCAAAAATATACCATTCATGGCTAAATGAATAACATACAGAATATTATCACTTCAAGTGTGCAATGATGAATAACATACAGAATATTATCAATTCAAGTGTGCAATGATGAATAACATACATCAGGACTCGACAATATATAGCTTGTTCGTTTGTGCTAACACATGAACAGCTTCAAATCAAGGGCTCAAGTCTGTTGGTTGCAAACCTGGGAACAGCAGCAAGACCTGTGCTGCTTTGGTGGTATTTGTGGCTCCGAGGAACCATTCGTTCATATCAATATGAATTATTGACCAAGACTTGAAATGTTAACAAAGACTCGAGAATTAAAAAATAAAAAATAAAATTGACGAAGACTTGCAGAAAATATCACATTATATATTACGGGTCCACCACGTGAAAGCCCACTACCATGTAGTGGCTGATAAATTTCTCGTTAATAGCAAAGAAAGGTTTATTTCAAAACTCAAAATATGCAATGCGGAGGGAACATCAATTGAAAATTCAAAAGTTGTAGCAAAATATATAAAATTATTAACAAAAGTTAAAATCCCTTTGAAAAACTCTGTTCACGTAGCAGTTTTGCTATTCCCACCATTAAAAAATATTGAACCAGTTATAAAGGTTATTAATGGCGGTAGTTATTTAACAAGACATAGTGGACTCATTAGGATAGTCATTTAAGAAGACTCGTTAGTTATTATTGAATTGAATGAAAACAAATAAATTTTTTATCTTTTTAAAAGAATAATAAAATAACTAAAATATTATTAAAAACCAAAAAAAATAAACTATCATTTAAAAATGTCTTTGTATTTTCACGTTCTTTTTTTCTATTATTATTATTATGTTAGCTAAAAAATACTATGTTATTTTAATAAACATAAGATAGTATTAAAAAAATAAAAAATAGCTAATATGTGTCATCTTATGTCGAAGACACAACTATCTTTTGGTGGTGTGTGGTGCACAACACGCCTTCTAGCAATACAACACCGATTTTTGTCATTTTATTAAAAGTGTAACGACATTCTCTTCTTTTTGTAACAACGTATGGAGATGTAGGGGTGATGGCTGATCATGAATGACTTTTTTTTATTTTTTTATTTTTATCTTTCATCTCTCAGAAAATTATGTTTGTCCATGTCAAATTTCAGAGTCGTTCTTTGATTTTGAGATGTTGAGTTCGATCTTTATTATTTTAATATTGAATTTTTGTTCTTAGATTTTTTCTATAAAATTTTAATTTATTTTCAATTTGATAATTCAATCTCAATTTGTGATTTGTTATTTTTTAAAAATTTGATCCTTATTCTTTTGATTGTATTGTAGTCCTTTTGTTAAATTGATTTTTCTTTACAATTCCACCCTTCAATTAAAAAAAATATTTTTATTTTTAATTTTGATACTCAATATTTTGATTATTTTTTCTTGTATTTTTTTAAATTTTATTTTTCTTTTTATTAGCCTTCAGTAAAAAATATTTATCTTATTTTAATTTTAATTTTGATGCTTATTTTTTCAATTTCTATATTTTGTTTTTGATATTTTTTTATAATTGAAAATTTTTTTTCAATTTCAGCCTTTAATATTTTATTAATTAAGAATTAAACCTTGTGGTTTATCTAAATTGGATGCTTACAGTCTAATATCCTGGGTTTGAAAATTCACACGGATTGACGTAATTTGTTTTTTATTTATTTTCATTTTAGCTTCTAGAATTCAACATTTTTTTTAAAAAAAAATATAGGCTATATGATTTTCTTTGTTTTCTATCAGGTTTTTCCAATCTTATGATATGGTCCATAAGTTTAGTAGGTTGACTTATGTTGACTTGACATTAATTACATAGGTTACAAGTTACAAGTTTATCATACCATCTCAATTGAATCAAACTGTTTTTTCTATTTTAATTATAAAATATTTTAAGAATAGCTTATATGTCAATCAAGATTATCTAGAAATCAACTATTTTAAAATATAACTTGACCTGACATGTTAACCCGTGACTCGGATGACCTTTGACTTATACTAACCCAAGTTTCAAAAGAAACTAGAGGAGAAATGATACACTGTAAAACAATCAAAACTCGAGTTGACCTATGCTTCGGTTAACTTAGGAAAAATTTAGTAAAAAATCATTGAATATTTACCTTTTTTTTCAAAATGGTGTTATTTTGATTTTTTTATAAAATAAAAGGATTTGGTTGACTTGTGTTCACACAAGCCAAGCCACTCAATCCATAACCTGATAATTATCCTAGATTGACTATCAGGTGGGGTATATAAACAATTAACAGAATAAAAACCTTGTTTTAAAAAAAAAAAAAACTTGAGAGGATAAACAAGAATTATGAATTGGAAGGTGGAATAAAAATATCAAATTCAAAAATAAATTCAAAATAAAAAAATAAAAATAAAGAGAATAAGGATCAAATTTATTAAAAAAATTCAAAAATCAAGATTAAGGATATATTAATGAAATGTAAAACAAATTAAAATTTGAGAAAAAAATTATAAATGAAAATTAGAAATTAAACCACTGAGGGTCAAACTATAAGTATCATCAAATATTAAATTAAATGTCAAAAAGAAAAAGAAAAATGAAACTCACAAAATAATCCAAAAAAAAAATAAAAAAAATCATGGATTCAAGAATAAAATTGAAAAGAAATTAAAATTTGATAAAAGATCCAACAATCTAAATTAGAAATCAAATCTAAGGCATCATAAAATAAAAGGACAAATTGGATAGAAAAATCAAATGACAAGGGATCAAATTGAAAACAAATATAAATAAAACATGATACACCTAAAAGAATAAAGATGAAATGTGATGAATTAAACAAATGACACACCTTTTTTTAATTTTTTGCAAGGGTTGCATATTTTTCAAGGCTGGAGAGTGAGAAAAGAAGGGAGAAAGAAAAAACATTGTTAGAGTTTAGTCGTGTGTTAGGTAGAGACATGTGCCAGCCAACCATGATAGGCAGTGAGACGCATTGAAAGCTATCTTGTAATGTGATTATTGGCTATTAGAAGGTGTTGCACAAAGGACAAGGGAACCTTTCATATGCTGGCGCATCCAAAACACACATTTACAACTTTTTTTTAATTTTATTTAAAAAAATATCAAATTGACCCTTACCCTCCCGACCCCCAACCTAACAATATTAATTAAAAAACATGATAAAAAGGACCGAACACCACCCCCTAAAGCTTAGTTATAGATTATTTAACTTTAAGGGTGTGTTAGTAACTATACTCTGCAAAGAAGAATGAAAAAAAAAAATGCCCCTAACCTTATTGTTAAAGAAATTCAACTTATGGCAATCTGTCAAATCATAACATGAATCATAAAACCACGATAACCTTATAGAAGGTAAATAAAAAAATGATCTAATTTAACCCAAGTTGACCTACTAAATAGGTGAGTTTGGTTATAAGACTAAGATAATCCCATAAAAATAAATTAAAATAAATTATAAATCTCAATTTCTAATCGTCTTCATTGGACTCAATGATGAACGGTGAAATTTATAAATATTCTAACTAAAGAAATGACATAAAAAATAAGTAAAGTGAACTCATATTAAACACTATCACTAGATTATAAGGTTAAGACAACCTAATAATTAAAAAACCAAAATAGATCATGAAATCTATTTTTCAATCAAATATAATATTAAATAATAAAATTAAAAAAAATCAATTAAAAAAATAAAATAACTAATTTAATTGGATTAATTTATCAAACTTGTAATTCATATCATGAGAAAGGAATAATCTAATAAAAATAAAATCAACACTAAAGGACTTGTGATCTGAGTTCTAAAACCAAGATGACCTCTTAAAAAGAAAATAAAAAATTGATTCAATTTAATCGGGGTTAAAATGCCAAAACAGGTAGTCATGATAATGAGACCAAGATATCCTTATAGAAAGTAAATAAAAAAAATATTATGAAACTCAATTCTTAACTGACTCAGTGTTGAATGATGAAATTAGAAAAAAAAATTAATTAAAAAATGACACAAAAAACAACTCGAGTATACTTGGATTAACCTGTTAAGAATTATTTTCGAGTCATAAGGTTGAAATAACATAATAAAAAGTAAAAAAAAAAAAGAATCATGAAATTTAATCATCAACTTAATATTAAATGAAAAATAAAAAAAAAAGTTAATTAAAAAAAAACTCTAATCAATCAAATTAACATGTCAAACAAACTTAACCCGTCAAATTGTAATTCATTTCATGAGAGTATAATAATTCAATAAAAAAAATTTAGTATTAAAAAATAAAATAAAATAAAAGTATTAATTTAAAAAATTCAAAGAAAAAAAGGAAAGGAAAAAAAAAAAGAAGCAAAGTACTAATCAAATGAATATTGTTTTACGCGGAGGGGTATACTAAACTCCCTTTTTTTTTTAGATTATAGTTAACTAAACTCTGTTTGAATGGGTTATAAATTTGATTTGAGTTGGATTTTTTAAAAAAATTTGAAAAACTAATTTATGTTAATTTAAATAACTTGATAATTTAATTTATAATTTGATTGATTTAAATAAATTTGGATGAGATTTGGTTGCTTTAAATATTATATTTTTAATTTTTATCCAAACAAATAACATTTTATTTTTTTAAAAATAATATCATTTTAATTTTATAAATTCAAAACAATATAATTTTGAGATACATACGCAAACCCACGACCCAGCCTGGCACCGACCAAACTCGAGACCACATGGAACAAGTACGATGGATAAAGACACGCCACGCGTAATCTTGCATATTCTGAAGGCTACGTTTTGATTGGCATTCTGCGCGGGCGGCGGGCCATTAGCCTTGATAGTTTCCCGGGCTTTTGAGGTATGTAACCCCCAACCATGTTGTCGGGCTCAAAACCCATGTGTTTTTCAGACACCCTGTGTTATGTCTGCTCTCACGTGTCCGCAATCGCCACCAAGCAACAGAGGAGGAGAACTGCAGGAGAAGAAAGGTATCATACTCCTCGAACCATATGCTCTCACCAGTGATGATTGTCCATCACTTAAAAAAACACGCACATAGAAAGGAACATTAAAAAAAATAAAATTGGTAATTGATTAAGAGTTCTATAAACTTCGAGAAGTAGATTTAATGGTTAAAGAGATTTTGTTTTTTAGTTTTTCAATTATAATTGTAGATTTAATTTTTTAAGCAATAAAACAGATGAGCAAATCAATAAATAGCTAAAAGGTTCCGTGTAATCTCATCAGTAATTCCTTTATATTAATTATACGCGAGACAATTA